AATGCATGCTGGGGAAGAGACTGGGATTAATTTTTTTATTTATTTTATTTTGCTGAGTGTGGAAAGAGATCAAGGAAGAGGCAAGTGGCAGACATGTTGAGGGTCTTCCTATGGTAAGAAAGAGAGGGAGGGGCCTAGAGAGTGCAGCTACCTTTGGTGAGACTTCCATTGAGAAGGAGACTGTCAGGGTATGCTCTATGCACTGCTGCGTGGTGCCTTCTTCTGGCAATTTGGCTTCACCTAGCTCAGTGCCTCCTTTCTTCTCCTCTGCCTTCTGCAATTCTCCTCTTGTTTACGGAGTTGCAGCATGACTGCTTTGTGATTCAGTCCTCTGGTCAGGTCCCACAGTGATTACCCATCCTGTGGAGTCTTTTCAAAGTCCTTTTGCACTAGCATTGTCAGGCCATCGTCAGGCCCCCTGCCCTGATTATGTCACTCGTGCAGTGATTCCATCAATCTTTCTACTGACTGCCCCTAGCAATAACACTGTACAGCAGATGGTATGGGAACCCAGGCCTACATTCTATTCTGAGTTCCAGTCCAGGGTCTTACAGCAATCAAGTAAGGTCTGCAGTAACATCTACCTTACTGCTTTCACACGTGGACTACTTCCTACCATGCTTCTCCAAGCTGTTCATTCTCCGCCCTTCCTAGTCAGACCTCTATCTCTTGACCTACTAGGTAAACCCTTCCTCTTAGCATAATATCCCTTTCCTCAGGGGTTCCTATCACCCCTTCCTTTTCCCTTGCCTCAGAGAATGAGAGAGAGAGAGACTGCAGGTTTCCTCCCTGCTCACACTGTTGCCAGCCTGCTGGCTTTAGAGAAGCCCTGCCTGTTCCCTCACAGGTGAGCTTTCTTCTAACTAGCACTCTCTACACAGCCTAAATCACCCCTATTGGCTGCTTAATTGGCTGATTGGGCCTGTCTGGCCTAATGCAACTCTCTCAGGTTTGGTGTGGGAAAGACCAGAAAAGAGATAAAGAGAAAGTTGGCTGACAAGCAAATATAGGAAGTAGCTTTAGGAGGAAGAGTGAAAGAGAGGAGTTGAGGCTGGAGTGGACAGTTACTTCATTGTTTAGGGCTGCTAAGTTGGAGCCTGTGGTAGATAGAGGGCATGAGTTCCTCTGCCTCAGTAGTGCCATCTGCAGGTGGTGTATTCCGTAAGAGAGGGTGGCTCTGCCAACTAAAGAATAAAGGATCCCTGCGGTCAAGGAGTGAAAGACTAATTTGGTAATCTTGCACCCAGGGGGAAAGTTCAGACAGACCCTTTGGGGGACAGCTGTGGCCTAGCGAGAGGGACTAGGTGAAGGTTTTGTATTTGGACTCTCCTTTCATTTGGACTTTGTGTAACCTGGAAGGGGAAAAGTTTTTGGTTTGGCTTGAGGGCTGAACAACCCAATCACTGAGAAGGTAGACTATCAACCAGCAGGGAAACTGAGGCATGGAAGGACATAAGGGGCACCACTACAGAGGTGTAAAGAATGGGATGGAAAATGTTATATCCTTGCATAATGATAATATGCCCTCACCTGGTCTAAAGTTTCAGTTTGGCTCTCAAAGAAGTATAGCAAAGCTAGGAGTCCAGAGATGGGTGCAAAAAAAAAAAAGAGGCGTGAAAAGTTTCATCTGAGGAGAGATTGAAAAGAGAACTGTTAAGTTTGGACAGGGGAATAAGTGGCAACATGATATAGGTATGTGAAATAATAACTCAGGTTACACAAGAACAAGGTGATACCTAGTGAGATTGAAAGATGCATTTAACACTGATTTAAAAAATGAAATGCTACTTTTACACAATGTATAAGAAACCTGTGAAACTCTCAGCCACCTTATGTTATTGAGGTCAAGAGCTTATTAGGATTTTTAAAAGGATTAGAAATGTATTTGCATAATGGCACCATCCACAATTATAGGGGGTTTTTTATTAAGGGATATAATGTCTCAGGAAATATCTGTGGGGTTAGGAAGAAAATTCCTTATAAACAGGTTGTTCAGTAGTTGTGAGGTTTACTGCACTTTCCTCTGAAGCATATGGCATGGACTACTGTTAGACACAGAATACTAAACATGATGAACTGTTTGTTCATTCCCTGATTTCTTTGTTCCCATAGAAATTTCTAATGTTTGTTCTCTGCTCAAACAAATGAGTGATTTTCTATTTTGTAAGGTTTGAAGAAAATCTATTCATCTATTTTTAATGTCCAGATGTGAAGAAGGTATTTTCATAATTTAGGGGGAAAATCACATGGTACAAAGTGTTCGTATAATTAAAATGATTTATTAAAACTTGCCATTGACTTAACGTACAACAAAGACCAAATTTATTTCAGGTGTTTGAAGACAGGTGATTAGAAATAACAAAATGTTCCTTCATTTATACTGAACTTTTAATGTCTCTTCAGTTTGCATATGAGTGTATTGGGGCATTGCACAGTGAAATAGAATGTACACCTGTGGGTTTTTTAAGACTGCTCAATTTTAATCTTGACCATTCAAGATCTATCTTGCTTACAGATAGATCAGCGGTTCTCAGTGCGTCAGGACCCCGAAGTGAGTCGGGATCCTGTTTTAATGGGGTTGCCAGGACTGGCATTAGACTTGCTGGGGCCCGGGACCAGAGCCCAAGAGTGGCTTCAGCCTTGGGTGGCAGGGCGCAGGCTACGTTTCACCTACCCAGGGCTGAAGCCCTTGGGCTTTGGCTTTGGCCGCCCATCCGGGGCAGCAGGGCTCAAGTTTCAGCTTTGGCCCCCTCCTGGGGTCGTGTAATAATTTTTGTTGTCAGAAGGGGGTCGCGGTACAGTGACATTTGAGAACCTTTGAAATAGCACATGTGTTTGGTACCAAGGAAGTGTCCAGTTTAGCATGTCACCAGCTCTGAAGGGCACATTATATGCTTGGGATTGCAATCCTAAAGCAGGCACCTGTCAATGTGTGATCAAAAGATTGTAAATTGATGTGTGTGGACATCCCACTAACATAGGGTGACCAGACAGCAAATATGATAAATTGGAACAGGGGATGGGGGGTAGTAGGAGCCTATATAAGAAAAAGACCCAAAAACCGGACTGTCCCTATAAAATCGGAACATCTGGTCACCCTACACTAACAATAGTCCAACCCATCTTCTGGCTGCATAACCCCTTCCCACCCTAGTCACCTCTTGCGTGACAGATGTCCAGTTCAACTACCACCCAGCTATAAGTGTAACTTGGTGGGTATATTTCAGTATGCAACAGTGAAGTACAACTGCAACATTGTTTGATATTTTAAGCCCTGATTGAGCAACACATTTAAGCACGTGCTTTTCTGATGGATTTAAGCACATGCTTAAGTGCTGTGCCAAGTCAGGGCCTTGTGCAGCAACTGTAATAGGCAAAGTGAACATGATACATTAAGGCATTAAAATTTGTACCGTATGTAAGCTCTTTGAGGCAGAGACTGTCTTTTTCTTCTGTGTTTGTATGGCACTTAGCGCAGTGGGGTCCTGGTTCCTGACTGAACTCCTAGGTGATATATCACATCACAAATAATACTATGCAATAATACCAACTGCAGAACTATATGTGCTATGGGAAGCAAAATTATAGTAGCTGTGGGAGTAATAATTTTGAGTTTCTTCTCCTTAAGAATAGAAAATTTCAAACACTGCATTGAATCAGCACAGGGTCATTTTGTTTGGGTTTGATTCCACTGTTGTGCAGTCATTCCAATTAATTTCTGAATTTACGACATCAGAAACTGATCTAGTATCATATTAGTTTAGCAAGTAAAATACATGCAGTGCAATGACTGGTATTCACTGACAGTTCATCACATGTCCTTACCGCTTATGCTGAGCTACATGTGTAACTTCTCGTACACCAGAGTTCGAATACAACATGATGAATTCTGATGATGCCCTTTCTCAGAGTTCTTATCTGTACTCTTGTTTTGAATGATAGTGTGTGTGACAGAGGGCTATTTGTATTGATCATTTGTTGGGAAAGATTTTGTGACTATTTTTAGTCTGAAATAGGGCCATGTATATTAGATATCGAGACTATTTCAAGATCTCAAGTCCTCTTGGCATCACACTCTTCTTTTAAAATAAATCATGTTTTGTACATTTATCCTTGTAGGTTAGAGAAGAGTAAAGGATTTAAGATGATACTGTGCAACATAAGCCCCATATTTTTATATGCATATAAAATGTCATTTGTTTGGGGGGGAAAAGATTATTAATTTTGTACTTAAGAGTAACTGTATAGTCCCACTCCTAGACCAAAAAAAACCGCAGTATATCTTCGTTAATTCTCACTTCAGTAATGTTCAAGCATAATAATTTAGTCTTACTGTGCTTCACAGGAAAGATTTAGAAGTTGAGTGCTGCAGAGTGACTTTAACAAATTATTCTACAATATGTATATGCTAGTAGACAGTGAAGTACAAGTATTAAATTAAACTTGTCAAAATAAATGAATGAAGTACATTACTGCATGGTAGTTTTTTAATCATATGTGTTCTTACTCGGTGATTGCAAATTTGCAGTTTGTGACGTAACAGCCTTTTGTATGAAATTCTGTGAGAGTTTCTGTGTATTACCAATTTAATAATGCTATGTCCACTATTACCAGATAGACTTGATGTGAAAAGTATTTTTTGTTCCTCACTGCTATGAATGGATCACCTGGTAGTCAGTGCCAGTTAATAAGGTTCTACTGCACTTCAAGTTAAAAACTATTTGCTGTGTTAAATTATAAGTTAGATTATTTTCTTTCTTTTGAGATTAGTTATATTTTTAACTAATGGTGGTGTTTTTGTAAATGTGGGGAGAGGGAAATAGTGGGAATAATTTAAAATAGTGTCATCTTACTAAATGAGAATCCTTGATTAAGATATGTCCTGGAGGTTCCACTTAGCCCATAATTATGGTTTATCCTTGTACATCATTTATATTTTCTGTTGTACTTGTAATTTTTTTAATCAAATGTTCACACAGACAGCTCTCTTTCCTTTTTAGGAATCTGGGTAAAAATGGCTTATCTAACAGTAGCATTTTATTGGATAAATGTCCACCTCCACGACCACCGCCTCCACCATACCCTCCCTTGCCAAAGGACAAGTTGAATCCACCTACACCTAGTATTTATGTAAGTATCATCCGACTGGTAGGAATAAAAGGTTAGGGCTTTTGTAACTATATACTTAGCTTTTTAATTTAGATATGTATTGAAACAAAGTATCTTATTCAGAGCTAAATTTTACTACAGGGGTGCAAACATGTGAAAAGGCAGAATTTTGACCCCAAAGAGAATCTTGTGATATATTTACAAAGAAAAACACTGTAAGTGATTCAAACTGAGAATTCCAGTGTGATTGCTAAATTGAAACGAAAACACATTAGGAATGCTTTTTACATTTTTAGTACTTCAAGGACTCATTTAAAAAGTCAGACAATTTATGAGACACAACTCTCAGTAATAATTCAAATGGATTTATAAAATATTTTAAAATGCATTTCCATAGGATTACTCAAATGTTTATATGAGCAGATAACTAAATGGAACTCTCCTGTCCATATCAAAATACAGCAAAGAAAATCAATTAAAGTTGCAATAACAATATTATAGCAAAAAGTTAATATAAGGAAGAACCTGAGGTGCAAAAGCTTTCATGAGAGATTTCCCTTACTCATGCCTACTTTCTGGTATGGCAATACATTCTGACATCAGAATTGAGCAATGTCTCAAATTTTGTGTAAAGTTCCTTGGTCATGGAGGAGTAACTTAGACTCATACAGCATCTCCATAGTTTCTATCCACACAGTGAAATTAACATTTGCTCTGGAGACATGACCTATACTGACCCCTAGAGGCAAAATGTTGAAAGATTGGCAACAAGAGCAAAATTAGATGTAACTAACAATGTAGTAATTAAACATTTTTTTTAAAAACTGACTAAAATCAATTGTTCTACTTAATGGTAGAGACAATGTAAATGACATTTCTGTTTTAGTTAGGCAGTTTCCTTTTAACATTATCTAAAGGATTATCTTATAACTTTTGAAAATAGTCTAACAAACAGTATTGTCTTGTTCTAAAAAAAAATTTGGTAGATTTGGAGATTGTACAGTAGAGGACAAAAATAATTCTGTGACTCTTAATTATTAAAATAACTAATTTCTGTAATATATATGTTCTTTGGGGAGGAACAAGAAATTAAGTTAGGAGCTCTGCTGAGGTAAAAATACTGAAGGGATGCTGTAGAGAATACATGTTACTAGATTTTTGGATCTGTTGTCAAATACAGAAATAAACTGCAGCAAAATTGAGCTTAGAAAAGCCTTGCACCAAAGCAGTCTGGACAGAATTTCTACAAGGGAGTAAATTATAATAAGTAATTTAATTTCAAAAGGAGTGAAATCAGTATTTAATGAGAAAATATTGTGTGATATAACTGCTAATTCACTGGAGTGCATGAAAATGGATAGCATTCCTGACCTCCTCCTGTTTTATTATTTGTTGTTTTACTAATGAAAAGTCTGACTTCCCCTGAGACCTAATAATCCTTTGTTATTCACAGTTGGAAAATAAACGTGATGCTTTCTTTCCACCTTTACATCAATTTTGTACAAATCCAAACAATCCTGTTACTGTAATACGTGGCCTTGCTGGAGCTCTTAAATTAGGTAAGTTTGTTTTATACAAAAAAACAAAGCACAGGGTAGACTTTTTTCTTTCTAAAGGAATGTATATGTATGTAGGGAAGTTTGGGGAAATCTTTGAAGTGTTCACAAAAGTCAGTTTTATTTCCTTAATATATTCATGTTTGCATAACAAGGAATTGGGGTAATATGTAGTCTGCAAACTAAGCAGTATTTCTGTGGTACTTTAAAAGAACTTCGCATCCAGCAGCTCCCATTGACTTTAGTCAAGCAGGTGCCTAACCATCTGTTTCAAAACCTAACATGAGGCTTCTATCTTTGAAACTCTTTGCCCACACTGTTTTCTGCCTTAGTTTTCCCATCTGTAAAATGGAGGAGGATAATTCACCTGTATTGGTAAAGCATTTTGAGATTTATGGATTAAAATTTTTGTACTTCTTCAGTATGCTTATTATTTATTAGAAGTATTTTTTGTAGAGCCCAGGATTTGTCCGAAATACATGTTTTCAGAAATAGCAGATTTAGTCATATCTGCTAGTAATACATATGTCCTTTTCTGAGAAGGACATTTTTAGGCAGTGTAGTCTCTTTTGGGCTTTTACAATCCTGTGTGGGGAAGGCTTTTTACTACATGAAAATATTTAATGTGAAACCTAAATAAACTGAGTTTTGTTTATTAAAGCTGAGAAATTACACATTTCCTTTTCAGGTAAAATATCAAATGTTGTGCTTCGGTATATACCTTTAGTTTCTTTTAAATATATTAATCTCTACCTTCCCAATGTATAATTTAACCTTTTCATTATACTGCACTATTATTTATGAACTGTATTAATGTTCTTTAGATCTAGGACTCTTCTCTACTAAAACATTAGTAGAAGCAAATAATGAACACATAGTAGAAGTGAGGACACAATTACTTCAACCAGCAGATGAAAACTGGGACCCCACTGGAACAAAGAAAATCTGGCGTTGCGAAAGCAGTAGATCTCATACTACAATAGCTAAATATGCACAGTACCAGGCCTCCTCATTCCAGGAGTCATTAAGGGTAAGTACATCTTAACTGTTTTATAAAGAACACAGTAATTCTGCAACCAACTTGTCCTCAGTAACAACTTCCAAAAAAAAAATCATCTGATCATGTTTTAAGGAGTCTTTTCCATCAGTTGATATTGGGAAGAAGGGGATTCCCATTAATGCTAAAGGCACAGCTAAGCACATAAATTCCCTGTGAATGGATGGGCAAATAGACTATAAAGTGTTCCGCACAAAAACCTTTAGTTTCTTCAGTGTAAGACTATTAGTTATCACTTTTACATACATTTAAAACTAACTTAAACTGATATATAGTAGTATGTAAACTCAGATTTAAAAGTTGTTGAGAACTTTAAAAATGCATTTAAAACTTTAAAATAAACTTTACAAATAGTATTTTTACAGACTATTTCTCAATTTCCAACTGAAAAGTACTTTGAAATAAAATTTCTTTATTCAGAGTATGGTGATATAATGTTTATGTGCTGCTTTTTAGAAGCCCACACGCACTGTTTTCCTTCAACTCAAGTGTTTGATACAGTAGAAATAATGTTATAGTTTCAGAAATATGTCTGTTAATGCTTTCCATATCTGATATTATGTAATGGCATTCTGTGTTTATTATTATGTAATTGCCCCTATATTTGGGAATGCCTCAGGTTCTAAAATTAATATTTTCTTTTTATAAAAACATTGTTTCAATACATAAAGTGAAGTGTTCATGTTTTTTTAAATACATTTTTTGCTAACATTATCTAATATTTAAAAAAAAAAAAAGTTTTCTAGTTTTTGTGGCCCCAAATTCTAGTGGTGAGTACATCCTTGGAATTAACTTGGGAACTCCTGAAAGCTCCACACAGATGTGATCCTAGATACATGAAAATACTAAGCTAAATAGAGCAAAGAGTGCAAGGTATTTCTGACCAGCTCTAACTTAGAAGAGGTTGGGAAGCAGCAGTAACAGAGGGCCGAGGGCTGGTATTTTCACTTTAACCACAAGGGAAGTGGTGGTGGGCTGGGTGAGGTGACAAGGACAGGAGAACTTTTAAGTTAGAACTTGCACTGCAGACAGGAGAAACAAGAACTTTGTGAGCAGATTAGACCAGGGTGTTGGAACAGTTTGTATAGTGGGAGTGCTGAGAGCTATTGAACTAAACTGTAAATGCTGTATATGATGGAAACTACTTCAAACCAGGGGGTACGATAGCATCCCTAGTTCTAGCACTGATGATTTAGAAGCAGTAATATGTGGTAGGAGATCCAAGTCTGGATTTGTAGTTACAAGAAAGTGGAGAGGACTAATTATGGGCTGTGAGAGAAGCAGGCGAAGGAATCAAGGACATTCTGGAGGGGGTACATTGGGGGATTTTGATGGCACCTGGATTGGGCTGATCAGGGACACAAATGGGATTTTTCTAGATCTGCAATGGTGATTGGGGAAATGGGATATCCACTGAAGATTTCCGGCTGCTGTTTGGGGAAGTGAGCGAGGATTGTATTCTTCCAGATCATTCCAACGCTGTTGGAAGGTGGGGGCTGCCAGAAGCCTTAAGCCCCACTGGTTCTCAGGGCCATAAGGTAAGCTAGAAAGGGGTCAGAGGATGGGGCAGAATCTTACCCAGAGAGTGGGGTTGGGGAGGTGTGTGGCTGGAGCCCTGGTTATTGTCAGAGAAAGAATCTAGAAATATGCAAAGTATTTGAGATGGGGTGCTGGGCCAAACTAATATTTCTGTCAGTAGGGAAGAAGGGGAGTGAATGTAAAAGTGTGTGCATAATTTGCTTTCAATAAATTTTAAAATATAGAGCTAATATGTTAACGTTCTCAACTCTTAAGTTTGTCATAGTGTAGCTGTATCAAAACTTTAAGAAATAGAAGGAAAAGAATGCATATAGGCTTCCAGAGCAGCTAATGTTTGATAATGCATATGAACTGGCATGTTACAAGAGGTCAGCTGGAAAGCCTCTATTGTCATTAACTTTTGCATGAAAAAAATTGCATAGATGACTGCAGTATTTTCAAATTAGATTTTTTTCTCTCTCTTAACAAGTTACTAGTAGCAAAGAAATGTAAAATGTACATGTTAAAATGACGTTCATGACACAATGTTCCTTTTCCTCTTTTATGGAAGTCAACAAAAACACTATTCCTATCTCATTCTTATCCCCAGTTTCCCTCTAATCTTCAAAGCAACCTCTGGACCATCTCTAAAAATTGTCCATATAAAAATTATAGATGCAAAGGTTTTCATATTTTATTTGGTTTGAGATGAAATCTATTAATACTATATGATAAAGTGATAGGAAATGTCACGTTTTTGTTTTGCAGGAGGAAAATGAGAAAAAGAGTCACCACAAGGACCACTCAGATAATGAATCCACATCTTCTGATAAGTGAGTTAGGTATAAATAGAATACTTCTATAGTTTCTTTTCCAAAGGATATACTTCATATGTTTTCATAATTTTTACAGCTCTGGTAGGAGAAGAAGAGGACCTTTCAAAACAATCAAATTTGGGACCAACATTGATCTGTCAGACGACAAAAAGTGAGTCTCTATGTAATTTGTCATTTTTTATAGTTATAAACAAAGTTGAGCCAACATGCCCACCTTTATTATTTATCTAGAGAGTTTCCTATTTTATTTCCTCACATCTAGGTTCCTGTAGCTCATTTTACTTTTTGTTGTTGCTGTTTAATAAAACTATACATACTATATCCCTATCATTGTCTGATATGTATTTGGATTTGGCTCCCAGTTAATCTTAGAGTTGCTTATCTTATCATTGGCTACATAACAGTTGTTTCGGCAGTTTAAAAGAAATGCATGTTTTTCTGATAACACAGCAGCAACACCACATTGCCATACTGGAAACACACATCTTTGCAAAGTGTTAGAATTCCCAACCCCTGAACTAACTATTTATTCATTCCCAACCCCTAAACTGTATAATTAACTTATACAGTTAAATTCTTGGTGTTTTGAGGCAAGTAGATGCCAGTTGCAAAAGTTCTACAACAAACAGAAACAAATTCATGATGTGAGACTGAAAGTGTTTTTAAAGGTTGAGCTGCATGTTGTTCATAGAGAGAGCTTGAAGGAAAGTTAGGATTTTATCATAAGGCCTTGAGGCTTCTTAGTAGCATAATTGAGAGGAAAATAAAGCTTAGAAGACAAACCGCGTGTATAGCACCAGCACACACCCTTCCCATACAAAACATCCCTTTACATATCTCCTAGTCTGTGTCATTCTGTGTATAAAAGTAAACACCAGTCTGTTGTTCTCTCATCTTGTTTGTTCCCAAGGATTTCACACAGTATGGATTAAGACTTTAAAAATGCACTTCCAAAAGACTTCATCTTCTCTCCTAACTCTCCTTTCTTAGCAAAGAGTTCCGATGGGAGGCTTGTATTTTAAGAGACTATGCACACATTTCAAGAGAAAATAATGTAATTTGCTTCCATTTTCTTTTAGTATAATGCTGATTGGTACTCAGCTAGTGAGCCTAGAGAGAGAGACTAGTATTCGCTGGGAAAGAGGACTGGGACTGAAATGAGAATTCTTGAGGATTGGAGACTGGGGGCTTGTCTCCACTTACCGGGGGATTGACATGTGGTGATCGATCTACTGGGGGTCGATTTAGCGGGTCTAGTGAAGACCCACTAAATCGACCACCGATGGCTCTCCCGTTGACTCCGGTACTCCGTTAGAATGAGAAGCATAAGGTAAGTCAATGGGAGAGTTTCTCCCGTCGACCCAGCACGATGTAGACACTGAAATAAGTTGCCCTAACATATGTTGACTCCAGCTACGTTATTCACATAGCTGGAGTTGTATAACTTAGGTCAACTTAGCCCCGTAGTTTTTTTAGTGCCTGCCCTAGGACTGGGACAAGGAACCAGAGGTATAGAAGAGGCTGGACTGAGACAGTGCAGGATGGAGTGAACAGGATAGGAGGAGTCAAACTTTGGGGAAATGGGCAAAAGATTCTGCGTGCACCAAAGCATACTCCTCCAGAGCTCGGAATAGAACCCGAGATCCCTGAGTCTCACCATTCCTCTGCTGCCAGCAAATATCTGTGAAACCCATTGGTAAAGTATCTCATCCCCCAACAGAGGATAACGTACTGTTACCCAAGTGGCAGAGGTCTGTATAGTGGATCTAAAAGTTCCAACCATACTGATTAACCACATGAGTGTCAGTACAGTGCCATATGATATATGTACAGTGCCATATTTGTTTCTGTTTTTTGTATATGCTTTTTTATAAACCTAGAAAACTACATGCACAAAACATATTAAAAGAACATTATTTAGATTGCAGGGTCATGAACTCATAAGTTAGCAAACATGGTCCGTCTGTGCGTATGTACAAAGACAGTATATCATGATCACATACTGTTATTTCCACAGGACTCTGTGTCGTTCAACATTTCCTAACTTCTGAGAGCTTGATTTTGCAACCTTAATGTTTTTTAAACATAGGTTTATGTGTGATGTATCCACCCTTCATGCTCTTCATCATATCCTCCCATTTTCTCTCATAAGCTTAATGTTCACCCATTGGGCTCTACTCTTGCATCCCTATTTAATCTCCTGTACACCACCTTTTCTTCATTCCTCCGTCCTACTCCCACCGGAATTGCTTCTCTCCAAGAAATCCTGATCCAAGGCTTGCCTCTTCCGATGCCTCTATCTTTTTATACTCTAAAACAGGAGTGGGCAAACTACGGCCTGCGGGCTGGGTTTGGCCCCTCAGTGCTTTGGATCTGGCCCGCAGGATTGCAACCCCCGTGGTGCCACGGGCCCCGCGCTGCTCCCAGAAGCAGTGGGCACCACATCCCTGCGGCCCTGGGGGGGGGCAGAGGGCTCAGTGCGCTGCCTTTGCCTGGGGTACCTCCCCCGAAGCTCCTATTGGCCAGGAACTGGGGAGGTACCCACAGGCAAGAGCAGTGCTTGGAGCCCTCTGCCCCCCCTCCCCCAGGGGCTGCAGGGGCTTGGTGCCGGCCACTTCCCAGAGTGGCGCAGGGCCAGGGCAGGCAGGCAGGGAGCCTGCCCTGGCCCCACTGTGTGCCGCTGCTACCCAGAAGCCACTCCAGGTAAGCGGTGCCGGGCCGGAGCCCGCACCCTGAACCCTTCCTGCACCCCAACCCCCTGTCCCGAGCCCCCTGCCACACTCCAACGCCCTCCTGCACCCCAACCCCGTGCCCTGAGCCCTCTGCTGCATCCCTCCTGCACCCCAACCTCCTGCCCTGAACCCCCTCATACACTCCATACCCCCCACACACCTCAGCCCACTCCCCCCCTCCCTCCCCCCCCCCACACACACCTCAGCCTCCTGCCCCAGCCGTGCATTCGTGGCCCTGCATGCAATTTCCCCACCCTGTTGTGGCCCTCGGGCCAAAAAGTTTGTCACCCCTGCTCTAAAAGGTAGATTTTTTCTGATCAGTTAGCATCTGTCGCTGTTCTCACCTTCGGTAGCCTCACATTTAGATCCTGCATCTTGGATGTGTAGACTATAGCAATGGTGTTGGGCTTATCTTCTTGCTCTTTTTCCTCTTTGAAGGCTGTTCAGTTTGGGTTGTCCTATATCCTTTTTTCTCCAGGTAACCATTAAGTATAGACCCTCTAGTTCTCTCTGTCACAGTTCAGGGCAACTGCACCTGTATTCCGTCTCTATGATAGAACAAAGGCACCCACTCTCAGGCTTCCAGCTTCCCTAACTGTCACCTCTCTTGCACAGAGAGACACATCTCATTCTCTTCTAACCAGGGTATCCCCACTCTGAACAGTTTCCTCTGCCTTCGCTGTGTTGTTCCCAGTTGTGTCCAAGCAGGCCTGCTTACTTGCTCTTCAGAGACGGTTAACAGTGTGACTCATAGTTGCCACACAGCAATTTTTCTGCAAGTCAATTTTATTCTTAAAGTAAAAGCACTAGAGAGAAAACATTAAAAAATAAAAGAACCTACACACATGCTACTAAGCTTAACAGAAATCACGACAACCCTAATGTGGGCTCTGGCAGGAGCAGTCCTTCAGTACCCCATTTGAGGGGTTTCCTTGTGCTTCAGTTCAGAACAAGCACAGAGTCTTATGGTGCCTCAGCAGGTATAGTCCTTCCAACCCTTCCGTAAGGATTGGAGCGCTCTGTGGATCAAGGTTCCTGGCCATCTGCTGGATCAGGAAGAAGGTCCTGAGTCTGTTTAAAACCAGGCTGTTTATCCAAAAATCTTTTTGTCTGTTCTTCCCTGGAGAATCCAGTTTGAACTAGTATATGCCAGCCTCTGCAGGGCATGGCTTCAAAGGTCTGATAAGCAAAGGAATTACATTAGCTTCCCCCTCCTTCTGAAGGAGTTGCATACAATTCTACAACAATACATACACAACTACATTTTAACCCATGGATCCCAAAGGTATTAACGCTAATTCAGTAAGGTTTATTTTAATCCCACAAGGTTTGTCTATGATACTGTCTTTGTGTCATGCTCTCCCCTATGAATGTTCCCTGAATGAATGCTTGACTCTTTTGTCTCTCAGCTAAGTCCCCAACTCTTGTCCAGAGTGACTTCAGATTTGATACAGACAGCTTGTCTGATTCTTCTAGTGTTTCCTTTCAGTAATATCTTAATTTAACCTTCTGCTCTTGACTCAGTTTGCCACTAACAATCTGTTGTTCTGTTCACTTGGTCTTTTACACTACTTCTTTCTGATTTTTTTTTCTTTTGAATTCCTGAATGTGTTCTGCAGAACTAGTTTCTTTCTTCTTTTTATCCTCATTGCAAAATGAGACTGGGCATTCTTTCCATAGAAGAGGAAAGAAGCCCTTTTGCAATTCTGGATTTCCTCTTGATCTATGAACAGCGAACAGTGCATAGCACTGCAGCTGTCCGTTGACTTGAATGAGGAACTGCCCAATACTAACTTGTTCTTCATTTTAGTCTTCTTTAATGAGTGTTTCTCTAGCTGAAATGGGAAATTGTATTTAATGGCTAAAACAAAATATGCATATAAAAAAGATGGGAGAAGGAACTGTGCATGGACAGGTAGAACAGTGGTTGGGCTGATGGAAGAGATTGAGGACTCTAAATGCACTAAAGGCTGGTCTGTCCAGGTTAGGTTTTATTTCCTGTTAGAGGTGAGCTAAGGCTGAAATTCAGGCAGAAACTCTCCAATACTATAAAACCTGAATGTTGTAAACCAAATTAAGTTGCTTTTTATGGGATTTTAAATTAAAATCTCTCTCTCTAATATACTATTTTATGTCTGTCTTTCCATTTTTAAATTAGTCTGACCATTATTCCATTCTGTACCTATGTGTGACATTCTTTATGTGACAGGTTTCAGAGGAACAGCCGTGTTAGTCTGTATTCGCAAAAAGAAAAGGAGTACTTGTGGCACCTTAGAGACTAACCAATTCTTTATGTGCTGATTCATGCAATCTTCTCATAAATCCTCTTCCTACCCCCCACTTTCTCTACAAACCAGTAAAAATCAATTTTGTTTAAATTGAATACATTTTTCTTTTAAAAAAGAAACCTATTTAAAATCAAATTTGAAATTGACAGCCTATGTTAAGGAATAAATTTACTGTAATCTGTTAAAATAATATTAATTTACATAAAAAAATTCAAGCAATACGTGTTTGCTGCCAAAGTTTTAAAGAAAGTCAAGGAACTGAACTGGTTGAATTCACTGGCCAAGCACCTGGAATTAGAGTTTGATGAAGTTAAACCAGCTTTGTGCTGCAGTAGCCACTTCTGTAAATGCAGAAAATATATTCTTAGTTTGAGTTTATTCAACTAGTTCAGTTAACTTTGAACAAGCTTGTCATTAAACAAAGAAGGAAAGCTTGGTTTTTTTTTTCTTTTCTAATCGAGGCCTAAAAAACCCTAAGGTCTAAGAGGATGAGATCTGCTAGTTCTAAAATCTTGAAGGACATGGTGACCCGAAACAAATAGTTCAATTTCCTAACTACAGATAATACTTCCTTTGTTTAATAAATCGGTTAGTTTTAAATGCAAAACATGATTTTGATAACCTGACTTTTGTTTTTTGTGTATCCAGAACATTTACAGTATTTACATGTAACTAATAATATTTAAAAATACTTTTTTGTGCATTTTAATTTAACTAACTAACCAGTATCCATCCTAATGGAGTTTAGGGAATATCATGTGTAAAATTTAATCTAATAAATAGAAAATGGTGAATGACATTGAACATAAAATTAAAAATCTGAGTAAGTGAATGTTATATAAATAAATATGCATAGATATGATGTATCCTCCTGGTTAGCAAAAAGAAGTACCAAATATACCAACCACTGAGAATCAACCTTTCTTTAGGAAAATAGATGAAAAGTAGAAATGCATAGAGCCCTGCACAGATACAAAATTTGTATCTGCATCCAATCTGCAATCGCAAAAATGGTCTGTGGATATCCACATCTGTGGATATAAAGCGGATACCCGCAGATTTGCAGGGCTCTACAAATGCAACACAAGGTTTAAATCACTTCAATTTAAATCAGTCTGCCCTACTGTAAACTTCTCTACCCAAGTTATTGGTCACTTTTATTTCAAAAATAAAATTGAAAACCAGCAAGAGCTCTCTTCATCCCACTCTCTCCTTTGTTGTTGTTATATCACAAAATATACGTAGCATTTTATAAATAGAATAATACAAATCTCTGTCCCAAAGAGGTTAGAATGGAGATCTCCCTATCTTCCTCTAACTTTTTGACTCCCCGTCCTTTTTGTTGTCTCTTTCATCTCAATTTTCCTCAGATCTAACCGTTTTCTCTTCCTTCTGTTTACAAACAAGGCTTGAAAAATGTACACAGTGCCTACTTGCCAGGCAGAAATACACCAGTGTCCCAGGCCATGATCCCTCCCTGCAGTTAAGAGGAACCTGGATAATATAAGAAAATTTGATATTTAAAGACAGATATTTCACATGAGTGAGGCTAAGAGGTAGAATGGGGAAATTATGAAAAACATAGAGTAGTTATCAAAAATCTAAGCAATGCTCTCCTGTCTCTAGACATTCCCCATTGATCCAGTGTCTGGCTAGGCTGCATATCTCTGTAACAGGTCTGCTCTTTGGGTTCCCTCTCCGACTTGAACCCAAAAGCTCTGGTCTCCCTCTGATTGGTTGCCTGCCTGCCTCCCATTGGTTTGGGGTCCCCAGTGTTTGAGCCTGAAGGCCTCTGTTCTCTGCTGAATGAGTCATAGGGTAAGGCTAGCCTGCAATTAAAGCCCACAGGTGGCCTGTGCCAGCTGATGCTGGCTCATGGGTTTGGGGTAAGGGGCTGTTTCACTGTAGGTGTAGACATTTGGACTTGGGCTGGAGCCCCGGCTCTAGGACCCTGCGAGGTGGGAGGGTGCCAGAGCTCAGGCTACAGCCTGAGCCCAAATATCTACACCGAAATTAAAAAGCACCTTAGCCCAAGCCCTACGAGCCCAAGTCAGCTGGCACAGGCCAGCCATAAGTGTCTAATTGCACTGTAGACATGCTGGTCAAGTTCTGTCTGCAACTTGTGTCTGATGACCCCACTTTCCAGATGGTCAGAACCCCTCACTGTCTCAGTCTGTCTTTGTTCTGCAGTCCCCCAGTTTAGGATTGATGATTTTGTCTTGCTGTTGGTGAGATCTCCCCTTGCAGCTCCTGAAAGCCCCAGCCTCCTGCTAAATGGGTCCCCACATCTTTATTCCCCCACTGGCCATCTGGTTGCTCCTCCAGGTGACTGGATACTTCTCTTCATCTGCTGCCACTGTACTCCCTTCCTCTTCTCTCTCCCCCTCCCCTCCCCCCATCTGTAGTCCAATCCTGATGGTCCTGGTCTCCTGCAGGTTGATTCACCAAGTGATTAAGTTTCCCTTTGGCTTGAGCCCTGATGGCATCAGGTTTACCCAGTGCTCTGTTGCACTGTTCTGGTCCACCTGGTTTCAGCTCTGTTCTGTGCTGCTGTCCAGTGTGCTCCAGGATCTCAGACATTTCTTAGCACTTTTGGGGTTGTCTTTCCTGCTGAGACAGTCACCTGCTGGGGTGATATGGGAGAAGCAGCAGCAAGTCTTGAACAGTGCCAACTGGTGCTGCAACTAGGAATTTCTGCACTTCGTTTATCAAAACATTATAGTCCAGGTAATCAGAGTGACAAAGGTCCCACTCATGCAACCAATCTGACTTTTTACTTGTCATGGCTATGCAGATAAGTGGATTTTTAAGCCCTTTCTATGGCTAAAGATCTTGTTTCCCCATCTTGAAGGAGGGGAAAAAACCTTTCCTTGATCCCACCTTTCTCTCCAAGTACCAACCTATCACACTGCTCTCTTTGGCTCCAGTATCCTAGAGCATGCTGCCTAAGCTTCTCCAGTTTTCTCCTGGATCTCCCTTCCATTCTGAGGTACACGTGCAGCTGTTTCCACTTGGGTTGTCATTTCTGTTCAGGGGTGAAATTAAGACCTCATTCCTCTTGTGCTAGTTTCCTAAAATTTGCTGAGATCCTGTGATCAGCCTGGGAGTGGGATCAACTTGTAAGTTCCTGCAGGGCCTCTTCGTTGTTAGTGGGGAGTGCTTCTCGTAATAGCTGGGAAACAGATTTTGTAACTGCTGTTTTCACCACCACAGCCATCCTTATCTCCTTAGTAAACAGACTTCATGTGTTAATTTGAGCAGGAGAGAAGAATAAGGATGGAATTCCACTTTCATATACTGATGTTGACTGGTGGGAATTCATGGTGGGATTTTTTTTTTAATTGGGGATTGTTTGCGGTGTAATGCATAGAGGTTTTATGTGATGTGTGCTGAAATTTCAAGTTTAAAGAATAGCAGGAATTTTTGTGACATTTCCAAACTTAAAGTTAGGGATCTATGGAATCTGAGACCTAAGTTTTCAGAAGTATGTGCACTCAATTGCACACCTAATGTGTATGCAGTTACCACAGTTGCATGCGCAATCACTATAAACTAGGTATAAAATTCTAAAATGTAATTTTCTGAGAACTTAGGCCAGAATGAACAGTTCTACAATTAAGACTTGGATTTCAATTAAACATTAGCATTAAATTGACATATGAATTGGTATAATTCCAGAATGAGACATTAAATTGTGGATGACGTTTTCTTCAAGAAACATGAAAACACGCAGTAACAGTTTCTATTCCTGTAACCTATATGTTAACAGTTTTGTAAAATGCTGTTAATATAATTCCCAAAGTATCCCATGAACTTTAGGGATTCACAGTTGTTGATTTGCTGTTTTACTGCAGGTGGAAGTTGCAGCTCCATGAACTGACAAAACTTCCTGCTTTTGTACGTGTGGTGTCAGCAGGAAATCTTCTAAGCCATGTTGGTCATACAATCCTGGGAATGAACACAGTCCAGTTGTACATGAAGGTTCCAGGGAGTAGGACACCAGGTAAGTACAGACACTTTCCATGGAAAAAATCAAGCAATAAAGTCAAGAAGGTGTTAACCTGGTCACAGTGCAGATCCTATATAGTTTATGATGTGCATAAATATAACAAAAATGTATATTAGAGTATCAGTTTAACAAGAAATTAGAAAATGCTTCATGGTGCATATGCAAAGTGACAGAGTTACTTTCTCCTGTAACATTAACTTCTGAAATTTCCTAACTTTTAAGTGCTTTTATTTTCACAACCTTAAATGTTCATTATTGCTAACCTTTTGCATTTAATTGCCTCTTTCTTTAAGAAAAATGAGACACAGTTGACTTACTTCACTTGCACATCTTGCAAGCTTCTGTAAGCTTTTCCAGCAGAGCTTGTAAATTCCTAGAATGACAGTTTATAATTAAACCTTTAAGAGCTAAACTTTGTTTAATTTAAACTCGTTACCTGAGGGTAAAATACATCCTTCACTGTTAGATAGATTTGTGATTAAAACATTGAACTAGGATTTAGGAGATCTTAGTTCAGTTCCTGGCTCTGCCTTTGGCTTCATATGTGACCTTCTGCAAGACTCTTAGTGTATCTGTGCCTCAGTTTCCCATCAGTAAAATGGAGGTAATACTACTGTAGTCTGTCCTTTCTATGTAAATTGAAAGCTCTTTGGGGCAGGGATTAATTCTTACTATGTACCTGAAACAGTGGGACCCCAGGCTTGCTTCGGGCCTCCAGGTGCCCCCAAAATAAAAATAATAATTGTGTTTGACTGAAGCTCAGGTATAGCAGAGCTCTTAAGATCTACAAGAGGGGAGCCACAAAGCATTATGCACATCAAAGATTAGAGAAATTGATTTGTGGATGACTAAAAGTTATCAATCAAAGCAAAGCTGTGTTGTCACTAATACATAGCCTAAGTAACAGTGTTTTAATTGTGTATTTTTAAAAAAGTGTAGATACTCAAATGCTGTGGTACTAGGCATTATTTACAAATACATATATAATTAAGCTGTGATATAATTTGCCTTAATAATAATTAGTGCCTACATAGTACTTTATGTGCTCACAGTGCTGTAAAAACAAAATTATCATCACTGTGAAAATAAGTTTTTCTCATGAATTTCAGGTCACCAAGAAAATAACAACTTCTGTTCAGTAAACATAAATATTGGTCCAGGTGACTGTGAATGGTTTGTTGTTCCTGAAAGCTATTGGGGTGTCCTGAATGACTTCTGTGAAAAGTAAGTCTCATATGCTGTGCTCAGATGTTTTGAGGGCTTCTGTATGTATACCTGTCAGATGCAGAAACACCTCACATATGCTATCAGTGGGGAGGTGGAGGTGATATTTTGTAGCTTCTGATGAATCAGAAAAGTCTGTTAAGATCTAGGTTTTTCCTTTATACTTTTTCCACCATTTTAACTAAATAGATTGCAATATGCAAAAAACAGCCAACTTTATGATTATCTCAGTTGCCTCGGGATAGTTTGCCCACAACAATCAGCAGTTGACTTAGATTTATTTCAAAACTTCTAAAAAGAAAAAATAAAGGTGGTGGAGGAGGGAGCATAGATGACATGGGGTTGGGGGGGGGGGGTTGTAATGGATATGGAGACTTTGACATGTAAGTCAAAGGTTCAGATTCAGACCATATCAGTAGGGCTCAAAAGTTACTACTCCCAGATGTATTTTAAGACCTCAATCCAATTTCCACCTTACAAAGCCCATCATTACTCAAGTGTATTACTTGTTACTCAAGTGTATTTTGTGTACATGCAAGTGGTTTTGCAGTTTTTTTTTAAATGGCCATAGTGTCTCACAATCAGCAATGAAAATAAATCCATGTTGTGTTAATTCTGTAGATTAGCAAACTTTTAAACTGCATTTGGTTTTCGTATGTGTTCATTATTTGATTGTATGATAGTGATACATTCTTTTCAAAGACTGCACAAAACTGAGCCACTATGACAACAAAAATATTTTAAAGGAAAAATGTCACCAACAAGACAAACAGCTTGGAACTAGAGTCAGACTGTTCTGAAACTGCTAGAGAGCAGCAGAGTAAATCAAAGGTGAAAAGCTAAAAGTAAAGTAGTTCAAAGAATTTGAGAGAGCCTGAATCACTGAACATAATGCAGTGCAGGACTGGGTGCTACCATCTCACAAATAACGTGGCGTCAGGCTTAAGAGAAGCCTGACAGACCCAAGGGATGAAAGAGGACAGATAAAAGGGACATGCCCAGCTCAGATCAGCCCTTGCATTTAAAATATATGAAGAAAAGGTCAAAAGACACGCTTCATGAACAATTTCAAGTAAGATGTGGAGAAGGATAAAAGGAAAAGCAGTTAGTGATTGAATTATTGATGACTAGTAGATCATATGTATTTGTTCACTGGAAGAAATTTGTATGAGCCAGAACTCGTCAGCTGATCTGACTGCAATTTATAATTAACAGTACAATTATTATATATTAGTTAGCATATAGGTTGTACTGTTGAATTGGTGGGTTGGAGAATTAATTCAATCACCATAGCAACTAATACCTTGGCCTCTTTACTGAGACTGTTCAGAAGAGAGCTAGTGGTGGTGGTGATGTTGAAGATGTGTTCACTAGTCACTATGCCTTGTCTAATCTAGACTTCTTTCCTAAAATTTCCCACCATTGCTACCATCCAATTGTGGTAGCAATATTGGAGTGCTAGAGTAGAAAAGGCAGCAGCAACCACTGGCATTTTGAACACCATGTTGTGCAGACCTGCTCTGAGCGGTGACAGTGGTTAAAATGCCTGTAGTCATTCCACACTAATATTATGTTGATTGCGACTACCAGTGGAGTTGTATTAGTGATAGCAATACTGGGAAATGTTAAGAAAAAATATTGTAGACAAAAACCTGGATAATAAATGGAGGCCATCAGCTCATTTCACACATGCAGCGAATTGCTACATACAGATTCAGAACATAATGACCATCCACTGGATTCAAATCAGCCACCTAGAGAAGAAAACATTGGGGGGTTTATTTTTTATTTTTTACCATTTCCTGTGTCATCAATTACTAGTTGGAAGCATTTGTAATAGTGATTGCTGTATGCAAGTATTCTGATTAACTTAACTTTATCTTGTCAGTAGGCATAGACCCCTAATTTATCTATTGGTAAATGTGGAAGACTTTTTTTCCTATTGTTGCAGAAATAATATGAATTTCCTAATGGGCTCTTGGTGGCCTAACCTGGAAGACTTGTATGAAGCCAATGTCCCAGTTTATAGGTTTATTCAGAGACCTGGGGATTTGGTGTGGATAAATGCTGGCACTGTTCATTGGGTTCAGGCTATTGGCTGGTGCAACAACATTGCTTGGAATGTTGGCCCTCTTACAGGTATGGTGAAATAATATATATGGTGACATAGATAATTTGTTCATATTGTACCACATGCATCCCAACTCTCTTGGGCTTTTTGTATTAATTTATCATATTTTGCTAGATAAAAATTGTATCTGTTTCAACACAAACTGTATAATGTTAAAACCTGAAATGTTTTCCTCTGAAGGAAGACTGAAAACATAAGCACCACAGTCCTTTCATGATTTATTTAGACTAAGCTTCACCACAATCGTGACTATAAACTTTTGTATAAAGAGAAAAAAGAGAAAGGAAATGATTAGATTAACTCACTCTACCTTGCACTTCACTTCCTTTCTTTCTCCTCTCCTCATCCTATTCATCCATCTAGGAAAGAGGTTGCACAGGTGAGGAGGACTGACCATCCAGTTAGTTTTTTCAAGACCATTGAGCTCTCCTATTTTTAATAATAACAGGCAATTATAAACCAGTATAAAATCTTGAGTTTTTAAAAAGCTCCAGGAATGTTAGCTTTAAACCCACAGCTACAAGAGAATTATGTAAAGTCATTAGGGTTCAAACTGGTATAAGCAGAAAAATAGAAAGATAATCTCAGAGAATGGGAGGAAACTCAGCAGACAAAAGAGGACCAGTATGTAGCTCAAAAAATAGCTATTTTCTTAACTAGTAATGCACACGACAAACTTTATTTTGGTTTAGTGCTATAAGCAGTATCATTCCAAGATCACTTGAATTGACTGGCATTCCCTGAGCAGCAACACATGTGCAACAAGACATTCCTTATGTTGCTTAGCATAAATTTAACATGCCTAATCTATCACAACAAACCTCTCTCTATTGTGTAATCTGTCTAGAAATTGCGTATTGTAAATATGACAGAATTGTAATATAGAATTGGATGGAACAAAGGCAGCTGCAGAAACTAGCAAATTAGGTTTTTAACCCTAAATATTTGAGAATTTAAATTTAAAAATCCCGTTTTTAAAGAAGTGGTCTCTGTTTACTTTTAAAATAAAACCGTTTTAAAAACCATTACTTTATTTAAAAACGCTTTTTCAAGTTGTTGTGGAATTGTGTATGCTCTCAATATTCTAAATATAAGGGACTATTGTGTAAAAATTTACTTTCAAAGCTGTAAAAATTGTAATGGCAACCACTGTAGCATACAGTATGTAGTTTTCTCCAATCTTACAAAATTCAGGTTTTGAGGATGACCAGGAGATCATCTTGTATCCTTTATTGGCTTATCTGAAAGTTTCTGTAACTTTTTCTTCTAGCCTGTCAATATAAATTGGCAGTGGAACGGTACGAGTGGAATAAACTACAGAGCGTCAAGTCAATAGTGCCGATGATTCATCTTTCGTGGAACATGGCACGAAATATAAAGGTCTCAGATCCAAAGCTTTTTGAAATGATCAAGTAAGTGTATTTTAAATTTTTGTGTATCCATTTCGACAGTTGACTGTTCTTATTTTGAAAAAACAAGGGTGATCTTTTTTATTTACAGAATAAATAATATCTTTCGAGTGAAATCCATTATGTGTTTAGCATTACATTAAATGAATGCTGTTTTGATGTGGTGAATTAGGTATTCAGTGTAATTTTTAGGCCTAGATATCCTGATATTTTTATCTTAACTGTGAGCTCCAGAGTTTTTTCAAAAATATTTTAGGTTTCAATCTTGCAACTTGTATGCAGACAGACCTCTGTTTACTCTGATGGGGCCCTGCACGAGCACAAGGGTCTGCCTATATATGACAACAAGTTGAAAGATTGAGCCTTCTGCTGGCAGTAAACTTCAGACTCAGGGTGAGCATGTTTAATTATTTTTAAAGTTAAACTAAATATTTTAATAGTAAATTTACTTGTTCGTTTCCAGTACTCACATTTAGCTGATTTATATCCTATCACCAAGAGAGGCAGGGAAAATATTTTTGACAAGCAAGGAGGCAGGGTTTGGAAAGCCTCTTCTCCCTCCCCCTCCCCCCTTTCATTTGAAGAGTCCTGCAGCTGATTAAATTAAGTCAATGAGATGGTAACATTCTGGGTTCAAAATTGAGCATTTTCAAAAGTGTGTTTCCCAGGTTCAAGTCATAGAATCATAGAATATCATAGAATATCAGGGTTGGAAGGGACCTCAGGAGGTCATCTAGTCCAACCCCCTGCTCAAAGCAGGACCAACACGAACTAAATTATCCCAGCCAGGGCTTTGTCAAGCCTGACCTTAAAAACTTCTAAGGAAGGTCATCTTTAACATATCTTTCATGCCATACAAAAATAAATCATCTGGCATCACTTCCACCCTCTGAAATCCTGAGAAAGCAGATGAGTATTCCAGCATATTTTACTCCTGAGGGAATTCTGCGCCAAGAAAGTAAAAATTCTGCACATGGTATTTTAAAATTCTGCAAATTTTATTTGTCAATAAATAAATGCGGAGGCTCAAGCATGGCAGTGGGGAGCATAGGCCATTGGCTGCACAGAGCTGGGAGATCGCCGTCGTCACCATCACCCAGGACAAAGACTCAGTGGTGAGGCTGCTCCAGACCCTGACACAGCACACAAGGCCTAGGCCTGCCCCAGAAATACCCCGGAGCCCTGTCCCTCCACGCCAAGTGTACCAGGTGTGGGCAGGCAGGCTCAGAATAGCAGAATCCAAGTAGGGAGGGCCTGAGTGTGGGGAGATCCAGGTGTGGGGTGAGAGGGTTCTGTGTGGGGTTATCTGGGTGCAGGTGGCTCAGTGGAGGGTCCGGGCGCAGGACAATGGGACTGCATAGGGGTCCAGTGAAGGTGATTGGGGCTCAGCAGGGGTGTTCTGGGTGTACGGGGGGAGGGAATCTGGTGCTGGGGGAGTGGGGCTTAGGTGAGGGTCCGGGTACAGCTGGTTGGGACTCATTAAGGTGGGGGTCTGGGTGCAGGAGCTCATTGGGGTGGTCCAAGCTTCGGGGTGGGGCTTCTCGGGGTGGGAGTTCAAGTGCAGGGGACTCGGGGGGGGTCTGGGGGGAGCCTCAATGGGGGGGTTGGGTGTAAAGGGGCTTCAGATGCAGTGGGTGAGGCTCGACAGAATGAGGGTTGAGGTGCGGGGGCCTCGGTGGGGGGTTCTGGGTGCTGGGGGTGAGGCTTGGCAGGGGTGTCTGGGTATGGGGCCATCCGGATGCACTGGGGTTGGGTGGACAGGGGAGCAGCTCCCCACACAGTCACCTCTCCCTCCATGACTGCGGAGTGATGGGGGCAGGAAGTAAGGGGAGGATGCGGAGCTTCCTGCAGCCAAAGGAGGTTTCCGGGGGTGGGTCTGCCCTGGCCATTCCTTGCAGGGGAAGAGGAAGTCCCATCCTGCCCATCCCAGCTGGGACTAGTAGGTGACCCAGCACAGGATAAGAACCACTGGCAGGGATGTCCTCAGCATCGCGCCCTGTGGTGATTTACGTCTCCAGTGGCTGCTCCAGGCACCCAAAATGACACACCTGTGCTGCTCGGAAGGGGCACACAAGCGCTATTGTGGCTTCCCTTTGCTTCCCTATCAGAAAGTCATTTTTCTGCAGTGAAGCAAAAAACTGCGGGGAACGTTAATTCTGTGCACGTGCAGTGGCACAGAATTGCCCCAGGAATAATATTCTGTGGGCCAACATATTCGTGAGCTTTTGGGTCACTCCGGGCAAGGTAGAGGAGAATGAATTTCAGAGTAAATGACTCATCACAAAGAATGCCCTGCAGCTCTCATCCTTTTAAGCTGAGGGGGCTTATAAATCACCTTGAAGATGACCTGTAAAAAACTGGGTTTAACCCTGCAAGAGAGAAAATTACAGCAGAGAGTATATTACACTCGCACCCCTCCCCTTTAAGGATGTATTTAAAAAAAAAAAAAAAAAGTCAGGGTATTTTCCTGATGCTTTTTTACATTAGAAGTTTGTGTTCTGTCTAGGCTGGAACACACCCTGATGATTGGAGAACGAACGAAATGGTGACAGCACAAATGCCAAGATTGGAAGTTGAGGGGGAAGGGATTTTTAGACAGACTGTTTAAGAGTCTGTGTTTTAGGGGATTGTGAACATCTGTATAGCTTCAGTGACTAACTTTTTGGATAAAGATGCCTTTATTAAAAATTCAACCTCCTTACCCTTTCAGTTAAGATGCTAGAGCTCACAGTAAGCATCCTTGGGAAGTCCCAAAGATTCTCCAGCAAACCCAGGGAAGTCTAAACTATTGCTTTCTGTTTGACTAACAGCTGCTGGGAATCTAATTAGATGCCTAAACTGCAAATGTACAAATGAAGAACCCCCTTAATCAGATGGCAGATATAATCTTTTGCCATACTTTGCAGTTGTTTTCCCCAGTCTACCCAATATCTCTTCTGTCTTACCTGGATTAAGCCTCATCCAGTGAGCCATCACCCAGCCCACAATTTTTGCTAGACTCTGAAACAAGTGTTTGTTCATACTTATCAGGTTAGTTGAAATGGAGACAGAAAGATGTAGTCAGCATACAGAACATACTGCAATCCATATCTCTCCTCTAGCCCTCATTTCGGCCCCATATATAGAGAGAATAGGGGTTCCAACTGATACTCTCTGAAAACTCATTTGAGTGCCCTTGGGAGAGAAGAACCATTGTCCAAAACTATCCACTGGACCTGCTCAAGGGGAAAGGGATGGGGCCGCCTGAGAGTAGCTACGTCCACTCCTGCTAGCTTCTGTGTTCTATTACCAACATTTTATAGTCATTGGTTTCAAATATAGCTCATTAAATATCAGCATGAACACTTGATCTTTATTCATAATCGGAAGAGATTATTTATCAATGCAACAGATGCCAGCTCTGTGCCAAATGAAGATTTGTATCCAAATGGACACAGGTCAAGGAAATCCAAGGCATCTAGATAGTCTAAAACAGTCCCCTCTTTTGGGAGTTAAGTACCAAAATAGGTAGGAAACAGGGTAGAGGAAGAGTTTTTGCTGAAATAAAAAAGTGACTTGTGCTTCTCATTTGAAAAATAAGCAAAAATGTTCTTCAGTGACATAGAGGCACTGGCATACGTGACAATGAGCACTATTTAAAACTAAATGTGAATGCATATACCTGTAAATGTTTGCGACTATTGTGCAAGGGAAAGAATTAAAATGTACGCATTTGAAAGAAAGTTTGAGCATCTTAAGACATCACAATAAGTATGCAACCCAGCATTGTCCTTTTACATAAAAGAAAAGAAAAAGGACTAGAAGCTTATAAAAAAGCAGTGTTCAAAGATCTGAAGGTGGGGCTGAAATTGTTTGGGGAACCAAATAAAAATATTCCAAATAAGTTAAGATTGCTCTGAGAAAAGACACCCCCATCTCCCAAAAAACAAACAAAAAAATCCCCTGATGATAATAGCAGAAGTGTCTAAAGGGAATAAGAAAGGCATTTACAAATATATTGGGGCAAAAGAAAAAGGAAGTAGTAGAGAGTGGGGACACATTAATGAATGAGTAGGGAGACAGTAATTCTAAAATGATTGCAATACTCAACAGCTTTATAGGGGGAAAAGTCATTTTGGATGAAATAAAGAAAATGGGGTTTGTGTAACTAGAAAGCAGTGAAGGGATATTGATTATAAAAGCATGGGTAAAAGGATACTTAGGAAATAATGAATATGCCCAAATCAGCAGATTCAGATGATACACATATTTACCCAGGATATTTACACCAGAGTCGACAAATTACTGAGGGATATATTTATAGAGAACAGCCCTGCATCAAGGGGGGATGGACAAGATGAAAACCAGGTTTTGAAAACTTCATCAAATATATAAAAGTTCAGATGCAGACCTCGTTACCATTTCTCACAGAAGAAATCAGACTGACATCCCCCTCACAGTGGGTTCACCCTATGTCTGTACTAGACTGTAAGGTCTACCCTTTTTTACCACAAACCTATCCCAAACCCTAATAAAGTATACTACTTAGAGCAGTGTTTCCCAAGTTTTTGAAAGCTGAGCCTGCCTTCAGAAAAGTGAAATTAGTTGTGCATCCCTTCAGCCCCACTGTGTGGTGTTAATTTGTACATCTTTCAACTGCCCCCTCCCCTTAACAAGTCCTTCAGCATTACACACGTTGGGAAACACTGATGTAGATTTTCATAATTATACTTACTCTTCTTTCTTATGTGCTTTGATTAGCAATGAAATACTTTAAAATGTCAATATTGTTAACTATCATCATTGGCATCACAGTTTTCAGGCTCTCTAAAAGCTCAGGCAGATATCACTGCAACATCTGCTCGTTTTGAATGCTTTCTTCACAACTGTAACAGCTAGAAAACTTTTTGGCAATGAAAGCTGAGACTCTGAAGAACAATTGCGGGAAGGGCTTTTAGGCCTGCCCAAAGAACCCATCTAAATATTCATATGGGAGCACAAAATATTGACAGTTGTTTTTTTTTAATTTCTTTTTAATTCAAGGCATACTTCTTAAGCAAGTAGCATATCAGACTTTTTTCCTAAATTATTAAACTAATAAATTACTTTATTGTGCTCTTTCAGTTACAAAAACAGGGTAGCCAGCAAATAGAATAGACAGAAAATTAAAAGGTGTCTTTCCAGTCCTCAGATGTCTGATGCTGGACTAATCCCACCTGCTGCCTTCCTATCATTACCCCAAACTGATAAAAACTTAATTGCCTAATCTCAAAGGTGTGATTGCAATGGCATGTTGGAGAGAGCTGGGCTGATTAGGCATTGCATGTACCAACAGCCTTCATAGATGTAATGTATTTGATTTTCTGCAGCCAGCAAATTATGGACCCCGCCCCATATGACCCAGAAGTCTGCATTATTCTTAATGGCAATTCAGTGCAAGAACTAAATAAATTAAATAAACTCATATGCTTGTAGCATAATTATATAATATGATGGCTCTTAATGAGCAATTGTATAACTGAAATTTCATATGCATTCTCTCAAAGCTACTCAGTTTAGATTTAAATATTGGTAAATGCCGTCTGATGGGCTAAATGACAGTTGACTCATATTTTGGGTGACCAGACATACTGTTTTTAAAGGGACACTCCCATATTTAAGCCCTCCTGCAGGTGTCCCAACTTTTTTTTTTTTAAATGGGCATGTTATCCTGTATTTTCTGACTCCCCCCCCCCCCCCCCCATCAGTACTGGTGGATCCTGCTGCTGGCCGGATCCCTGCTTGCCAGCAGCCCACCCACCAGTGGTTAGTGGAGGGTCCAGTGGCCGATGATGGGGGTGGGTGTGCAAGGCTGGTGACGGGGCCAAGTTGCAACACGTGGGGTCCCCTGCTCCCCATGCTGGTCCGAGCACTCAGCTTCCCGACAGCTTTCTTCCCCCACTGCCTCAGGCTGGACTGGGGTCCCAGGAAAGCCCAAGATACTCCAGGAGCTGAGCCCTGCATGTGCCAAAGCCTCGCACGGTGCTGTCATGGGGAAGCCTCTCCACCCCTTAGCTAAGCTCTGGAGTGGTGTGGGGGAAGCCATTTCAAGCCTGTTCATGCCCCAACCCTGCAGGCTCCACAGCACCCCCCAGGCAGGGGCTTAGCACCCTCTTCAACCCTCACCCCCGCACCCTGGGTCCTGCCCCCAGGGAGCTCAGGGCTGCTTTGTCCCGAGGCCCCCTCCCCTACTGAGCCACCTCTCTGGTCAGGTTCCCTGGGCCCTGGTGCACAATGCATCATCAGGGCTTAACCCCTTCCTGCCCGTGTTGTAGCCGGGGGACAGGAGGCGGCTGGGTTATGTCCATGGCCAGCGGCAGCCTGGAGGTGTCTGCCTTTCGACTGTGCAGGCAGGAAGGGACAAGCTGCATCCAGCCGCAGGGGTTGGGGGAGTAGAAGAGATGAGCTCTGCAAAGACATGGGCCAGATCATCACTCCCTCCCACTCCTCTCCTGTGGCTGGAAGCAGCTCCCTTCCCTTCCTCCCGCACAGTGCCAAAAGGCTGCTGCTGGCCACATTCTGATGTGAACCCTGGCAGAAATCTGGTGGGGGAGCATGTGACCCTGTGTGCCCCCACTCCCCAATATGTTGCCTCGGGAAGACACAGCGTTCTTCCTGGCAGTCCAGCCAGGCATGGAGGGCAGAGAGCGCCAGGAGGGAGTGGAGGGCTGGCTGGACACACACACACACACACACACACACTCTCACTCACTCACTCGCTCACTATGGGAGAGTGTGTGTGTGTGACCTCTTCCCGTCTGAACCATAAAGCCTTAAAGATAAGAAGATAAATAAAAAGAATCCAACTACGTAGTATTTCTTTTTAACAGGGGCTCAGTCAACTTGATGTTAATTTGAATGTTTATACTGCATAGTTCTGATTGATTGACGTTGAACTCACTTGAATACGAATAATTTTATCAGGTGTCCTTTATTCAGCGTAGGGGAATATGGTCAACCTACTCATATTTTATTAGTAAGGACAAGTGCTGTGTATTTCTTACCTTTCTTACAGAGATGTATCTATTTTTAAAATGTTTCATAAAATTTTTTTTTGGTTTTGATATAAATTAATTCCCTGATTTCCTGCAGCAAAACTTTTTCAGGTGGTTAGCTCTTGTCTTCTCTGACTTAATCATTCCTGCTTTTGTTTGACATAATCTCAGACCTTTTCTTTTCCATTGGATAAAGTGATTTAAGTCACTTGATACTAAAAAAAAAATAAAAAAAATGTGGTTTAAACTTTGTAACACTAATTTAATTTGAATGTGCTATAGCAACTTTAGATTAAAATTTATAAAGTGCCACTACATTCAGGGTATCTTATTTGAATTTTACTAAGTTTCTATAGTCAAAAACCAAAATATTGAAAATTAAGGACATGATCCTACAAATACTTAAGATAGGTACACATAGTATAAGATTTACTTACGTGAATAACCCCTTTCATTGACTTCAGTGGGGGATTACTTGTGCTTGAAATTAAGCATGTGTGTAAGTGTCATACATGAGGGGCTAAAACTGTATTTGTATTAAACATTTCTTATAGTGGCATAAAATCTGTCACTTCAAAAAAAGAATTCTCCATGTTAGCAATGAAAAGTTATTTAGACTTCAAATACATTATCAAAGTTATTGAGAACTTTTATATTCACAGGCCAAAAAATGTTTCGTTTTTTTAATAGCCTGCATTTTAGCTTTTTCAACTTTTGAAAGTTCAGTATGTCAGAAGGTGGAGTCAGTTGCTAATGTAGAATGGGCTTATTTGCAAGTTTGAGTTTGTGTTGCTCTTGCAATACAATACTAACAAGTCCCTGGATTTAGGTGTTGCAGGGTGGGGGACGAACATAAAGTCTCAATGTAGTATCTAAAATTTTCCTAACATAAAGAAACTAGTATAAAACATACATTAGCAATTTAAGACTATACAGTGAAAAGAAAGTAAGGAACTAGCACTGTGTTTGAACAATGTTTTGGGGGGCGGGAAGGGGAAATAAAATTTTTTTCCACTGAGTTTTCCATCTAGCATTTTTTCTTCCCCTTATGTTTTCCAGTGTGTCTGTAATGTATGTAGCGACCCTTTGGAGAGGAAAATCAGAGTACTGCTCAAATGCAAAGGATAGTTAAGAACTGAAAATTATTGTAAATGACACACACATTTGAAATTAAAAAAACTCAGGTGATCCATTTTGGCCCGCTTATGAGAACACACTTGTAGTTCACATAATATTGGAAAGTAAAATGATATATTGCTTGACAGGATGAGCTAAAATTCAAATCTGTTTTTTGTCATTTACATAAAAATATTGCAAACAATTGTAAATAGTCATTTGGGAGCACACTAAGCTTTTCTTCCTTAATGCAGTAAGCAAACCAATATCAAAATTTTCTTCCATTTTTAGTTAATATTTTTCTAGAGAAATCTACAGAAAATATTTTCTGAAACTAGTCCAGGTATTTTTTTCTCCTAATCTATAATAATTTCTACCAAAATTCGAGTTTCTGGACTTTAGGTCACTGGAAGACAGTTGTGTTGAGGAAATGATTTCTTTTTAGGAGGGTGTTAGTGTAAAATGATACCTTGGGTCGGCAACATAATGCTTTGAGTTTCATATATGAAATGTAAGCTGTTTGTTTTATCCCAGTAAGTCAACCAAACTTCTTATTGATAATGTTAGATTAAAACAGTTGTATAACTACAGTACACTAAAAAGCACAGTATTTCACTGTTTAAAGAAGTTTCATTTGCTCCAATTAAAATGAAATATACTGACTGTGGTGGGGGTTAATGTTGAATAAATCAACAGATAAAGTTTAGTTTTGAACTGAATGTAGGGGAAATATTTGTGTATAATTCTTTACTTTTGATTTCTGTGATAGGTATTGCCTGTTGAGAACTCTCAAGCAGTGTCAGACATTGAGGGAAGCTCTAATTGCTGCAGGAAAAGAGATTGTCTGGCATGGGCGAACAAAGGAAGAGCCTGCCCATTACTGTAGCATTTGTGAGGTCAGTAGAAGTAAAGAACTTTGCAATTTTAAATTGATCTATTTTTGGGATGTCTTCCATTATTATTGCTGCTGTTGTTAATTTTGTATTTCTTTATTTGCATTACAGTAGCACCCACTATCTGCTAGCTGCTGTAAATAGATATATGTAAGAAGACACAGTTGCCATCTCCTAAGACCTTACAATCTAATCTTTTAGATATGGGCTGTATTTTGCTAAACTCTCTTTTTCAGTGGACATGTTACTCATGCAATATTTTTCCATTATCTGGGATTCTTAAAAAAAGGCTCATCCCATCTGTATTGAATGTGATCCGCTGAGCTTCATTTTTAGAATTTTATTTTATTGTATTTCACTGGTCAGAAATAGCCCCAAAGAGAGAGAGAACTTTGGTGTGCACTCTTCATAGAACATCCCTGTCTTGCTAGGTGTTTTGATTCTCCCTAGTATTTAATAATATGTTTTTGCAGAACAGAATAGCAATTTTGCTAAAGACCAAATGAAAAGCATCATTTTAGCACTTCTTGTCCCAAGCTGAGAAGCCAAAAAAGGGGGGGCACTGAAAATTAGTGGGCACTTGAAAATGTTGGCCTTAATTTCTCTTTTTACCCATCTGCAAAATGGGTATAATGCTTACAGTATGTACCTTACAAGTATAACTCTCAGATTATGAAACTCGCTTGGTAATATTCGCCTGCGTTTTCTTTAGTGCCTTCATTCAAACATCTTAATCTAGTGGTAGAAGTAGACATGAGTTGGAAGAGTTCCTACCTCTGTGACTGAACCCCAGAAGTGTGAATTTTTCTTGCGCTACCTTGTCTTTTTTCTATGTGCACGTGCACACAGTCAGAATATAAATCCCAAACCAGCCAAGCCTTATTTTCTGTAGCTTTCCAAAAAACAGATGTCAACTCTGATTTGTTTCCTGTTACACAGGTGGAAGTCTTTAATCTGCTTTTTGTCACCAGTGAGAGCAATTCTCGAAAGACCTATGTTGTACATTGCCAAGACTGTGCGCGAAAGATAAGCGGGAATCTGGAAAATTTTGTGGTGCTAGAACAGTACAAAATGGAGGACATGATGCAAGCCTATGACCAATTTACATTAGTAAGTTATATTCAGTGGGTGAAAAACTATCTTTGTAAAGCTGTTGTATGTTGTGTTGGTACCTATTTGTATATGAATACCTTGGATTTTCTGGTTCAAATGGATTTCTGGAATTATATTTTCCGTTTTTACAGAAAAAAATATTGAAGGGACAGAAATGCATGGAAAAGTACAATAATTTACTACAGAGTGTATAAATGAGTTTCTGGAGAAAAACAGTTGTTAAAATTTACAAGGATGAGGCTTAAAATTCTAATATAGAGGCTACCTGAAGATCATGTCTGGATCATATAGAGACTAGGCCATTCATAACTTGGGGGGGGGGGGGGCAGTTTGCCCTGGGACCCCCATTTGAGAGGGCCTCCAAAATCACCACAGGGCAACTGTGCCAAATTTGAGTGACAGGCATTGCGACCTGGCATATGGGGTCTCAGCGCCATTCAGGTTTGGCTCAGCCATCCCTTCATCATCATGGAGGAGCAACTGGGCCAAATTTGAGTGAAAGGCATTGTGACATGGCACACAGGGTCGCAGTGCCACTGAAGTGTGGTGCCTGCCATTGATTATTGTTGGAGGTGACTTGCCCATCCCAACTGGGCCTGTATCCAGACACCACTAGCATCATTGCACTGGGCCTGGGGCAACCTGCCAGGCTGAGAGTCTGGAGGTAGGAGTGAATTGAGGGTTCTGGGTTACTGCTCCCACTGGCAGCCGGACTAGAGCTCTGGGAGAGGTGGAGTGAGAAGTGGCTCACTGGCTGCATGCAGGTTGGAGTCCCACTGTTATCTCCACAGGGAGGCAGTGACCCCACAGGCCTGGGCCCTTTCTTAAACCCACCCCATCCCATTGTGTTAAACTTTTCATTTCCATGGTAATTTTTTTGGAACGGTGGAGGCCTCAGTTTAAAACTTTGCCCTGCACCCCCAGAAACCTCTGTGTGCCCCTGGATTGTGAGAAGAAGAATAAAAATAGTGAAGCTGAGAGAATAGCACCATGTTTAAGAGAAACTCTGACGTCATTTCTAATAGGAAATAAAGAACCTGGCTTTCTCTCCGCTTGGCAAGAGAATTCTCTCAAACAGTTCTGTTTGGGGCCTCCTTTCCATCTGAGTTATAAAGCAAAAACCCTGGTGTCCATTACCTTTGCCCATTTGTAGGCTTGTTCTGTATGGTGTAGCCTGCTGGTTTGAACTGTGCTAACGCATGATTGTCCATTCATTCCATATGGTTTTCAGTGTTGCAGGCAAGGTCAGATGTCTTGTTCATAATCAGAGTGAAGAGTGGTGCTGAATTGATTCATGATGCACCTTGCATTCACAGGAAAGTAGACAGTAGTTGGATAGAGCGTTCTGAGATGTTGTATTGTAATTGAATATGGCAGTCCAGAAATGACTATGCCTTTTGATTAATTTCTAGCTGCAATTCAGTGTTGGTTTGGATAAATGTTTTTTCTCTTTACTAGACTTATGAGATAAGTTGTAAGCTTTTAGCTAAGGTATCATGATTTAAATATCCAGGGCATTCTCAGTACGGGACCCTCTACTCTGGAATTTACTCCCTCCGTTCATTTAACAGAGCTCAAAATTGTTGGCTTTCAGTTCACATGTAAAAGACCCAAAATCATTGTTTGTGAAGCACTAAGATACTGAAGTGATTGTTACAGATAAGTCTATAAATATCTGTTCTCCGAGACTTCTTCTGAGATGAGCCAGAAGGCTTGTATGGGGAAGAGTTCTGTTGTCTAATTTTTAGCATGTTTATCTAGATAGTTGTTGTGATGGATGATTTAAAATAATTGTACCTGTGCCTAGAGAGTATTAATGTAAAATATTAATAAAATGAAATGCAAATTGTACTTGAATATGCAAAAAAAAAATCACAAATGTGATCTTAAAAAAAATCCTGAAATATAAAACCAATGATGTTAATATGTCCCTTAAACTTTATACGTATTGTTTACACGGATCTTTATTGAATAACTGCATTTTGCCCATTGTAGAAAAAGTAATTTATTTTTTCTTTCCAGGCTCCTCCATTGCCATCCTCCTCATCTTGACATTTTTCCATGGACATTAAATGAAAACTTTTCTGATATTCAGGAAGTGACCCAGTTCTGCACCACTGATTTTTTTTGTAGCTATCCTGTAAGGCTGCTGGCTTGAAAGCTGTGTCTATGCAACCTTCCAAGTGCGGAGTGTCAACCAACTGGACAGGAGAGAGCACTGCCTCCTATTCCAGAACTCAAAATAAATAAAGCTCATCCAGCTGTACTTCAAAAAAAAATAATAATAATTCCATGTTTTGTATATATCTGACAAAACTGGCAACATTATACAGACTACTGACTTGAAGACCACCTCTTTTGTATTTCTCTGTTTCTGGGCTGATGAATTAGTTTCATCCATTTTTCCCCTTCAGAATTTCCCTTGGAAAAAGTACTAGCTTAGCTGGTCATTTCTTTGTAAGGTAGTTAGAAATTTTAAGTCTTTCTTTGGGCAACATTTTTTTTTAATGTGAAAAGTTAGGTGATATAAATTTTTTACGGCTTTTATGTTTTTCTGTCTTGTTTTGAAACCATGATGGTTACACTTTTGGTTCCTAAAATAAAATTTAAAAAAATTAACAGCCAAGTCACAAAGATAAATGGGTTGCACATAGACTAAGGAATAAACTTCAGATTTGTGATTTTTGTTTCTAATCTTGATGTAAATTTACACTATTTATAAATACATATTTATTGCTTGAAAATATTTGTGAATGGAATGCTGTTATTTTTTCCAGATTACCTGCCATTGAAATTTTAAGGAGTGCTGTAATTTCAAACACTACTCCTATTACATTTTCTATATGTAAATAAAACTGCTTAGCATTGTACAGAAACTTTTATTAAAATTGTTTAATGTTTAAAGTTTTTCTATTGTTTGAGTTTTAAAAAAGATTTTATGTACAGTGCCTAGGTTTTGTTCATTTTTGGACTCTGATTATATATATATTTTATATATACTCGTGTGTGTGTATATATAATATATATAGAATCTGAATATAAATATATGGATAAAAATTTAGAGCTAAATTTCTCTCATTTTAAGTTTTACAAATATGGTAGATTTGAGATGTCTACTGTAAAGTATTGCTTACAAAAGTATGATTATTTTAAAAGAAATATATGGTATGTATCCTGAAGACATAAAAAACCCTTAAGACTGGTTTATTATTAAATTGCACTGTTTGCAATAAGAGGCTAATAAATAGTTGCTGCCAAAATGTAGCATTAGAAAACAAGTAGTGGCTAACCTTAAAGGTCAGAGAAGTAATGGGTTTGATAGGAAGTTTAGAATAATTTTAGAGGTTACATGAGAATGTTAACTATGGGCTTTGGTGGATATGGTATATAGAATTCAACCAAATTGAAATTTGTATCTTCCAATAGTCTCTGTTAACAAACTAAAATAAGACTTTGTCGTCTTGGTGTCAGTTTTGACCCAAAAAGGACATTGTTTTGTGGTGGTCTTTTGTATTTTCACATATTTTGTAATAGAAAATCACTGGTAAATTTTTGAAGCACTAGGTTTATTTAGGGTAACTTTATAATATATGACTGTAACACTGTTTGCAGTTTGAATTAATGATGGCATTTATTTTATTAAGTTGCTCATAATCTTTCTCAGCAGTTCCTTAACGCATTAAAACTAAATTTCAACATTTATAGTTTTCTTAGTGGATTAGAGTTGACTGATGCATAGAATTCTGCATCAAATAACAGAATTTCTCAGTTTCTAGCGCGTAACCCAGCTGATTGCATTGTTACCTTTCCTGTACTCAGTGTGAGATGTTAGACACAAAGCATGCAGATATATTAATTAGCTAATAATTTGGTAAATATTGAACAGTGACTAAGCAATTGCCTCTTGTTTTTGTAGTTTAAAAAGAAAATAGCCTCCTTTAATCAAGTATCAGTAGAGCTTGGTTAAGTGCTGTTGCTGCAGTTTAACTAGTTATAAATAATTTTCACACCACTTTTTAGCTGTTGTTAGACAAAAGGGTATAGAGATTAAAATGAAGTATAAACTCTCATCCTCCTGCCAGCAAAATTATAAACTAGCTGTTAGGAAGCAAATATTTGCAGTTCTTTAACGCTAAGTCAGGGCTTTTGATAACCAATTCTGGAAATAACTTTTTTAATTATGTATTTTATGCAGACATATTGTAATCTTGAAAAACCATGCTGCAGCTTAAAAGTCACTCCTTTGTGGTAGCTTTAAACCAGAGTCAAAGCAAGAAAACTTACCTCAACTAATGGTAAACAAAAGATGCTCTTATTTCTTAGTGCTAGCAAAGAACATTGCCTATTAGGGAAAGAACTGTTGTGGTGTATTAACCAAAAGGGCTCTGCAGCTTTTTTTGTTTTTTCCTCTCTTGGAAAGGAGAGGATATCACATACTTTCAATAAAGGAATTTTTATTACAGCAATGATGCTGCAGGCGATCAGCAGAGAGAATACTGTGACAGTCTGACTGAAGGCTTTATTGTGGTTTTAAATTGCCATGGAGCTTTAACATTTTACAGTTACAATGTTTATCTTAATTACAGTATTCTGCTGAAATGTGGACAGTTTTTAGATCTATAAGCTGCTGTAATTTAGAATGCTTTGTGTTTCATTTTTATTAAAAAAGCACAAGTTCATATATATATATTATCAGTTGTAGTTATTAGAGATATAACTTTGTGCTGCTTAAAATGTGAGTTACCTGGTGTATGAGAGAGACCGTTATAACCATCACAGAATACCTATGAGCTCTCAACTCATGAAGATAAATGGCTTCTGAGCAGGACTAAAGGGACCAAAAGCAGCCTAATGTCCACAAATCTGTATCCCTTTTCAATCTAACAGTGGCCTTTTGAACTCAACATATGAACCACAGTTCAAGTGAATTCGATTGGCTCACTTACTTATGGCTACAGGTCAGTTTTGATGGCAAAATCAAATGTGTACGAGAATTAATAGGCAGTTCTCCTTCATAAAAATGGCCCACAGATGTAAAACTAATTTTTTTTAAACAAAACTAGCAGTGCTCCAGGCTATGAGTTTTGATGCAGGAGTTCTGCCAAGCCCCAGAGCATTTATAAAAGTAATACACTTCTTTTCAGGAATGTCTGAGTACAACCTATACATGACTAATAGATAGGGAAGGAGGAGGTATAGTAAAAGCATTTATAAAACCAATGTGATACACATTGATAGTTAACAGAGTAGTGGCAAAATATGCTGGCTAAAGAGTATTAAATGAGAAACTGCAGTCAATATACGATACAGACCCCAGGATTTGAGGAGAGCAAAATAAGTTCTTGCTCCTGGACCAACTTTGAAGGAGCTTGAAAATCAAAGGCTGTTGTACATTTGAGGAGGAAGAATGCTCTTGTGCTTAAGGTATTGGACTGGGGTGCAGGAAATTTGGTTTCAGTTCTAGCTCTATCATAAACTTCCTATGCTTATCTTCAGGAGGTCACTCAATCTCTCCCTGCTTCAGTCTACGTATGTAAAAAATAGGGGTAATACTTCCTACCTCACAGGTGTGGGGGGAGCTAAATTCAGAAGTGTTTGTGAAGTGCTCAGATGCTGCAGTGTTGTGAGCCATATGAGTAGACATTACTGTCCAGACATATGTTTGGTAACAAATACAGAAAAATGACCAATCAAAAATTTTACATAGGACAATTTCATGAGCCAGAAAACAAAGCATCCTGGATCTACTTTTTACTAATAACGAGACATATTTTGAAAAGGTAACTAACCTTTTGCCTTATGTTGCCTTATTGCGATGAGTGCGGGCTATTTGAATTCAGCATAATAAGCAATGGGTTCTTGAAATAAAGGTATTGGATTTCAACAAAGCAAACTTCGGGGGTATAATAAACATACTTGCATGGTGCCATGAGAGCAAGTATTAAAATCCATGAGTTGGGGGTGGAGGATAATTCTAAGAGGGCATATTTGAGATGCAAATAGACTACATTTCGGCTGGAAAATTAAAAGATGAACGAATAGGAAGTAGTCAGTGACTTTGAGAAATTGTTCAAAGACAAGTGCATGACTCAGAAAAGGGAGGGAACTGGAAAAGAAAAAAATACAAGCTTACAGGAAAAAGTATAGGCAGCCAAAAAAGCAGAGTAAGTTGAATTAACCCAAAGAAGTGCGAGTGCTTGCTCATGTCGATTCCATTCTAGGTGTGGGCATGCCCACATGCACAGTCGTCAGAGATTTTTGCCTTAGCTGTGTCCATAGGGATGGCTGTGGCGCCCCCTTGAGTGCCGCGCTCATGTGCTGGTATATTAGGCACCGCCAGCCCTACACCCTCTCAGTTCCTTCTTACCACCTGTGACAGTTGATCAGAGCGCCTCATCTTGCATTGCAAGAGCATTAGGCATTCTTTACAACCCATTGTCTATCTTCTTTGTATATTGTTCATAGGTACTTTAGTTAACCATTAAGTTAAGTATTAGGTTAGTTTAGTAGTTAAAGTCCCAGCTGGGACTCCTCTGCCCAGGAGCAGGGCATGCCCCGTTCCCCCGGCTTCAAACCATGCTCTTCATTCAACAGGCCAATGCCTGTTAGTGATCCCCATGACAACGGTTTGAAGTGCTTGGGGGAGCCCCATAGAAAGGACAAGTGGCAGAATCTCCTGACGGCTTGGCTGCTGCATGGTTAAATGCAGAGGAGCAGGCATGCTCGGCTGGTGTCCAGTGGGTTCTGTTGGGCAGCAGAAAGCCCTCCACCAGAGCAATCTACCTGGCCAAATAGAAGTAGTTAACTTGTTGGACCTCGAATAAAGGCATTTGGCCAGAGCAGGCCTCACTGCAGTTAATCATGGACTACCTTCTGCATCTTAAGCTCCAAGACATGTCCATTTTATCTAATATGGTCCACTTGGCTGCTGTCTCGGCCTTCCATCCGCCGCTTGAGGGTAGGTCGGTTTTCACCCAGGATGTGACTGCCAGGTTCTTCAGGGGCCTCAAGCACCTCTATGTGCCTGTCAGAGACCCTGTCCCTCTGGGGGACCTGAATCTTGTGTTGTCATGGCTCACGGGACCCCCCACGAGCCTCTGACTTCCTGCTCTCTCCTCCTTTCCTGGAAGGTTGCATTCTTTGTTGCAATAACATCTTCCCACAGGGTCTCTGAGATGAGGGGGCTTACCTTGGAACCACCCTACGTGGTCTTATACAAAGACAAGGTCTACCTGTGGGCACACCGGCTTTCCAGCCCAATGTGATCTCTCGGTTTCGTATAGGCCAGGACATTTACTTACCTGTCTTTTTCCCAAAGCCGCATAATTCGGAGGAGGAGCATAGATTGCATTCCCTAGATGTCAGGAGGGCACGAGACTTCTACATTGAAAGGACCAAGCCATTCTGCAAATTGACACAATTCTTCATCAGGGTGGCTGACAGGATAAAAGGTCATCCAGTGTCTGCTCAAAGAATTTCTTCTTGGATCACTGCCTGCATTCACTGCTGCTGCAATCAGTCAAAGGTTCCCCCTCCAGCGATCGTTAACTGCCCATTCAACCAGGGTGTAAGCCTCTTCTGCAGTTTTCCTAGCCCAAGTGCCTATCCAGAACATCTGTAGGGCAGCCACCTGGTCATCCATCCACACGTTCACATCACCTTACCCAGCAGGCCTGGGATGATGCTGGCTTCTGAAGAGCAGTGCTGCAAGCCTCAAGACCATGAATTCTGAGCCCACCTCTGAGGATACTGCTTGTGAGTCAGCTAGAATGGAACTGACATGAGCACGCACTCGAAGAAGAAAAAACAGTTCCCTACCTTTTTGTAACTGTTGTTCTTCGAGATGTGTTGCTCATGTCCATTCCATTTCCTGCCCTCCTGCCCCTCTGAGTTGCCAGCAAAAA